AGAATAAAGTTGTTATATTACGAGAATAAAGTCGTTATAATACGAGAATAAAGTCGTAACATTACGAGAAAAAGTCGTAACATCACGAGAATAAAGTTGTAATATTACCAGAATAAAGTTGTAACATTACGGGAATAAAGTTGTAATATTACGAGAATGAAGTCATCATACCACAACCTGTTTCAGAAAGAAAGCTTCGAGCACCAACTAGCATATGACGGCCGACCAGCGGCACCAATAACTAAACCTGAGTCCACTTTGACATGCTGCCCAGTTTGATGCTGGTGTGTTAAATGATTTCCTTATTCGTTACACCAGAGCCAAAGTTTAACCTCACATAATGCTCAACATTCCTCATTTTAGGGAAGAAAATGCTTCTTGTAGGAGTTGTCATAAAATACAACTTGTTTCTCGTAATTTTAGGACATTAATCTCTTAATATTACAACTTTATTCTCATCATTTTGACTATCCTCGTGACTTTTTTCTCATAATGTTACAACTTTATTCTCGTAACGTTACGACTATTTTTGGAGTTTTATGACTTTATTCTTGGAATTTTTGCGACTTTATTCTCGAAATAGTAAAAAAAAAATTCTGACGTCCTTGAAAAATTAGGTACACACATACAGCCCTTAACATTACTCAAGTTGCAAAAGGAAATTGTTGCAGTGAGAACTTCAGGGAGGGCTTTAGATTTTGTTTAAATGCTTTTTTTTTTACCTTGCTTCCTGTGGTTACCTGTAGTAAACTGATGTCAAATTGAAAGTGTGTATAAATGTTAATTGATCCAGGCTAACACCAGCTAGTCAGGTATCTGTAGACAAAGCTAGATTAGCTGATCTTAAGCTTCTACATTTTGGCCAAAGAACTTTAGAATCACAGTCAGTATTAAAACCACATGATAATGTTAATTTACATAATCATAATCACCGTACTGCAATAAAAAAACAGCCACTCGGATGCAGATTTTGGCAGGCTATTATATGAAGTCAGAATTCTGCCAAAAGTATACAGTCGTAAATACTGGTACGGGCAGTTTAATTTAAAACACGTGCACATAAACGACTCTACATCCATTTTAAATGTTCAATGCTTTAAGATTTAATACCATGAGGTCCCTAATATCTATCGCAACCATGAGTTTGTGCTCCTCCATGTGCTCTCTTGCATTTTACGCTGATATAAATCCTCTCTATGTATTTTTTTTTTTATATAGGCTCAAGTCAACTTTTGCCACTTTGAGTAAGGAACCAAGCTGAGAAACTAAACTGCCTGTCATTGGCGACATTTCAGGAAATCTCCCTTCTTGAGACAAGACTGTTTTCTTCCTAGTTATGACAGTTATGTTCGCAAAGCATCTTCAGGCTAATAGCTGTTCTCTGACTTTATATGCAACAGCCGTAGCTCACCACACATGTACGCCTGAAAGTTAGCATGTGCAGAAAAAGATAGCTAAATGGGGACGAGCACGTAGGACTTAAGGTAAACATATCACCATAATGATTGACAGTTAGGAGGACCACTTATTTAGATGATCCACCTGGAAATAAAAGATTGTTCTCTATACCTTTAAGAGAACAACTATTAGCCTGAAGATGGTCTGCTAACGTTACTAGCCACAATCAGAAAGAAAACAGTACTGCAGCCACGAGCTGAGGAGGAGGAAGCACTCATGCATGTGGTATATTAGGAGCCTCATGTGTTGAATCTGAATGCATAGAATTTTCAACATGCCAATGAACAGTAGTTTACATGTGGATGTGTTTTAAATAAAACCGCATGAGTGTGTATTTTTACACATGTGCACCTTTGACACAAGTATATTTAAAGCAATATGCATTTAGCTTCAGTGTGCCAGTAAGATAACTGGCTAAGCTGATGGACTGCTCACATCTTAGAGCTTTGGTTTCTATACTTTTGCAGGTTAACACCCCCAGCACTAACTTTCAAACCGGTCTTTTAACTTTACCAAGATGTCACTTATGTGTTGAAGCAATAAATTGCTTTTCTTAAGCAGCCCAGCCAGACTAACATTTTGAAAATGCTCATCTTTGGAGGAATCTAAAGCTTTACATCATAACATGAAGGCCATTTTAACCGTTTTTAACTGTGCAAATATTATATTGTATAAATAATTCTTGTTTCTCTAATGGCTTTATTTAACATTAACAATTTGCTTCACTTTCCTATTATAATTGTCCCTGATTGTCTAAATAAAAATTATATTTAACAATAAAAATCCTGTTTTTGTGATTCTAACTTTGTCCATTACCTTAAAATTCTTCCACATTTAACCCATCTCCTTGGGAAGCAGGGAAGATTTCTCAGGTCTTGTTTATGCTCAGAAACCAGGTAATCAGATAGCAACCAAGGAAGGAGAGAAAGGAGGCGCCCTATTGGTCGCTTCTACATCCGCTCTACACTATGCGTATTTCCTGTTTGGTAACTAATGGCAGAAACTCTGACTGTAGCGCCGTCCATAACGCCTGGCACACCTCAGACACTATCCCAGAAACTGTGCAGGGTGCTAGTTTGTAGCTCTGAGCGACGGTCTGTTGGTTTGCACCAGAAGCCAAAACACACAGCGCCACGGCCAGTCTTTGGGGAACACTCACGGGTGAACTGTTGGTCGTCCGGCGTTGGATGAAGGGTTGTTGACGGTGAACAAGCTTGTCAAACTGACACACGGACACCCAAAATTCTAGCTAGTTCGTGATTATCCCTCTTGCATTTTGGCGTGGATTAACAGGCCACGCATCAATCAAAAATATCTGCATCACACCTGCGACAACCTCACCACGGCACACTGCTAGGGAACTATAACCAGCACTTTAGCCTCAGGGTTTTGCCCAGGGCGCCGTTAGATTTAAACCAGAGAACTTTCAGCTTTTCCCAAAACAACAGTATCCTGCTTTAACCATGAGGTCACCACTGAGTGCTGTTACCTGCCGCTAACATGCTCCTTACTTAAACCTCAGCTTTAAAGAACAAACTAAACCGGGATATGCTGTGGAGCCAAATTGATGCACGAAGCAATAATTCTGTTTACCCATCTGAATAACTGATAACTTTCCAACAATCTAAAGATTTCCTCTACAAACTGAGATATGCCATCTTTCTAAAGCAGGAAAGCTGTTACAGCAACAGTACCTCACTTTCAGATTAGCTAAACTAACCCTTAAGCACATATCGTTCTTTCTTCACCAACTGCTTGAGAAGACCTTGTGAATGGAACAATGTGGCTGGTGTTTCAGAATCATCTGTATCTTATCATAGCAGGGAGGAAAAGCCCCCTAAACAGAAAAACGTGGAGAGCCAAACCCTTTTTTTTTTCTTCAAAGAGCCTCCAAAGTGAGGGCTGTTGTTTTTAAGAAGCGAGGGAGGAGGGGGCTGCTTTCAGCAGCCTGAGCTTGGGGCTGGTTCTCATCATTTTGACAATAAAACTGAAGGAGTTGAAACAAAGCAAAGTTTCACGAAAAAGAGAAAGGCAGAAGAAAAAAAACCCGAAGAGGCAGGGAGATTTCCGCTGGCCTGTGCTGAATTGTCTTCTCTCCTTCTAATCCAACAGCCAAAGAGGGGTAGAGTAGTGATTTTAAGAGGAGCTTTAGGGGGAGAGAAAAAGCTTTCGTGGCTTAATTCCTCTCTGGCACCCTGGGGCAGGAGGCCGGAGGGACCAAAGGGCTTGAAAGGGATCAAAGATGAATGAGTGATTGTGCTTTAAATTCCCAAAGGTTTGTTTTCATAGTGTCAGAATTTTATTGCAGTGCTGGGGTTCTTCGTTTCTATCAGATTTGTTTTATTCACATACTGAGAAACAATACTGCGCTTAGTTCAGGCACTTCACTTTTGCTTTCTGGAAATGTCAAACACCTCCATTTGACAGGAGTGCATGCTTTGATCAGTTTCTTTTTTTTAACCTTTATATGTATTTAAAGATACAACTGTACATTTTTCTTTACATTCTGTTGCTGATAAATGAAACAGGACAAAGAGTTCCTAGAGGAAGTGACGCAGTAAAGGTCTGTTCACGGGTCAGCGCTGGCGGAGACCTGCGATAACCTTGGGTCGGAGTCTATCTCAAAACGATAGTGGTAGCCCTCCCAGACCTCCCTGCAGGCGTCCCGCATGTCGTACACACGCTTCTTGATTCCCTTGCGGTTGAGGTAAAGAACAAGGAGGAAAATGAGGCCTATGAAACCCAGGACGATACCCAAGAAGACGTAAGAGGTTTGTAAAGCAAGGTCTGCCCCGGCGTCCCTTTGGTAGCATTCCAGAGTCAGTGTGGCCGCCGTAAGGATGGATGTGTTCCTCATGCTGGGAGGGAACATGCAGACGAGGCTGTCGGCATCCAAGATACGGTCCTGGGACCTGTTGAGCCACAGCGAGAAGGGTTCAATGCCGCAAGTGCATTTGAAGGGGTTCTGCCCCAGAAACAGGGAGGCTTGGCGAAGCGAGTCCAACTCTTGCAAGCTCTCATTAGGAAAGGTCTTGAAGGCATTAAGTGTGAGATCAAGCTCCTCCAGGCTCTCCAAACCAGAGAGGGTGAGGTTGCGGATGGCCACCAGGGAGTTGTTGGAGAGCTGGAGTCGCTGCAGGCTGCTCAGGTTGGAGAAGATACCCGAGGGAAGGTAGACCAGGCTGTTGTCGGATAGGTCCAGGGTCCGCAGGTTCCTCATGGAGCTCCTCTGAAGGCAGCTGGATAGGTCCATCACCGATGAGAAGTTGTAGAGAGCTTTGCTGAGGTTCAGCTCCCGCAGCGACTGGCTGAGGGTACCGAACGCTTCGGGGTGAATGACAGCCAGCTGGTTGTTGCTCAGATCCAGAGAGCGAAGGCGGAGGAGTCCGGAAAAGGCGCGGGACTCCACCTCTGAAATTCTGGAAGAAAAACAGGATATGTAGGTCAAAAATGAAAATACTGCACCAAAAATAAGAAAGAAGTATTGGGTGTTAAAAATTCAGAATTCATCTATTTAACTCTAAACGGAGTATTTACTACTATACGGAAATCTGCTCAAGTGTTGGAGTTATTATCAGTGTAAAATTTGACAGACATGCAGTGTAACTTTTATTCTTTATAATATTGATTAACAGCCAGTCTCTGAAAGTTCTTCAGGATTTTGACACTAATAACACAGAGTAAAATTAACTCTGAAAATCTGCAATTTAACACTCATGGAATGGGACCAAATAACAGGGTTATTTTCAACTCTGTATGTGTTAAAGTACGTTTTTTTTTCTTCACTGTGGGGTTTTATCATGATTTAAGTGTTTTAATAAATAAATATAAACTTTGTTTAGTGTGAGTAAATGTTTTCTTTAACACTAAAATTCCCGCCAAATGTCATCTTGAAGCACAAGAAAACAGATTTTTTTGTTATTCAGAAATATGTAAACCAAACTTCATGAATTTTGCAGTGTTAAAGATAACACTTTAAGAGTTAAATATAAAACCAATTTGGTCCCACTCTGAATTAGTGTTAAATTGACAACACATAAAACAGATCCATTATACAGATAAAGAAATGTTAACAGAATAGACATACATTATTTATTCTATGTTTTGTCCTTCTCTTCTTGTCCCTTTTCCTGTTTTCCTCTTTTTTTTCCAAGCACTAAGCTCACTTAGCTGATTGCTCCTTCCTGTGTTTCCAAAAAGGCGACGGCAAAAGTAAATAACCCAGTCCTTCTTTTCACTGTAGACAATCATGATCTGCTGATCTGTTCTCCATTTTTCATTTGGATGAAATAATAGCTGCATGAATCATGACAGCAGACAAGATAGAGGTGAGTAGGAGGCGGGGTTACCAATCTACTTGCTCTGGAGAGCAGAGTTCGCTGCTTT